TTCCTATTTAATGCTATTGCGGACAGCGGTTTGAGAGAAGGAATAGAAGAAGGATTTCGTCTCTTTTTCTGATTTTGGGTCTTTTGAGAGCGAGAGCCATCCGAAGGAAAGGGTTAGGGTTTGAGTCGGCTTGGCTTCTTGAGTGAAGAGGAGGAAGAGAGAGTTATAGAAATCAGTGGATTTCTGTGTGTGTGTGAAGAAGGTGAATCTTTCTTGTCTCTCTAACTTCTTAACTTCTTCTTCTTCTCTGAGAAAGACAATCGTAAGGGATTATCGATTGGAAGCAAGTTTCATACCGTAAGACTTGTTCCTTTTGCAATGCTTAGCTATATGCTTATATGCAGGTAATATCTTTCCTATTTAGATTAGGAAGTTTGATACATTGAAGTGTTGGTTTTCGGTTTTGGGTGTTCTCTGTTCTCTGGCTTTATTCCGGTTCCTTGCTATTTGATGCGGACATCCAACTGTCCAAGCCTATTCGAGGAGGAGCTGAAGATCGACGGTCGTGATCGTCCTATATTATCCTAAATTTTTATATGTAATCTTTATTTTAATTATACATTTTTTTTTATTTTAAGGGTCTAATCTTATGTATAAGCTCTAAGGATATGATCATCTTATTTTAATTTCTTTTATTTCTAAGGCCTATATATAGAGGCTCTTGCTAGTGTAATGATATGATGAAGTTTTAATAAAATTTTGTTCTGCACTTTTGTTCCTTGGGAGGACTTTAGTGCGAATCCATATTGAGGGAATCGTAGTTTTCATCAGCCGCAAGATAGGTCTGGGCTCGTAGCTTGAAGTCCCTTGGTGAAGGGCAACGCATCACCCGTCAATCTTCGGAAGAGTTCAAGGCTCGCGGTTTTATCTTTTTTTTTTTATTTCCCTAAACCGCCACCTCCTCAAGCCCTCCACCAAGGCGACGATCTTCTCACCCCATCACCTCCACACCATCGACCTACACCAGCCCCTCCCTTCCTCCCCCTCCCCTTGGCTGAAATCCACCATGGCTCCACCCACCCGCCGGCCACCTCCTTCCCTAGCCCCACTTCCCTCCAAAAAAAAAAAAAAAAAATCTTTTTCCTTATTTAAGTTGTCATTAATTTGAAAATATTTTAAATTCAAATTAATCTAATTTGAATTTCAAATCCATCCTCATTAATTACATTATTTTTGGAAACCTCTTTCATTCATTTAATTAATCAATTCCGAAATTGATTGATTAATTAATCCCTTGATTCTAATTTCATTTCACCATCATTACTTTCCTAAATTAGCTTTTGTCTTATTTGGAAAGTTTTCGAATTCAAATTCAAATGAATTTGATTTTTAAATTCTTTCTAAAATAACATACATCTATTTTAGGAAATCCTTCAATCATATTAAATCTTAAATTATTTTAGATTTAACTCTCCAATCTCTCATTAATGCATGAATTCACATACATTGTATGTGGACACCTTTCCTTTTCCCTCATTAGGCGGGCCCCACTCTCTCCCCATTTTAATTATTTCCTTCCTTGTTAAGTAATTCAATTAGGAGAATAATTAACCACCTATTTACCCTTCTTTCCATCTTATTTGAATATCAAAATTTAAATCCCTTGATTAGCGGAAATCTAAAATTTAACTTTAGATTTTTAATCTTATTATCTTCCTCCACCCCCTGCGTTCTACATCACTATTCTTCTTGGCTTATATTCTTTTTATGCTAAAGAGTTCATAAGGATTGAGGTGGAGGTGTTTACTGTTATAAAAAAATTTCTTAAGATCTTTAAGGGAAGCATCTTCTGTTTTTAGCATTTTTCTCTATTTAGCCAAGTGTTGGCTGTCAGTGAATTATTTGAGTTGCTTTTGATGAGGACATCAGAGATCAAAGGCTATGATTTGGAGTTTATATTTTTTATGTGTTTTATGTGCTAGTTTATTTTATATTTTTATTTTTCTCATTTTACTTCTAGGGGTGGTCATATGGTGTTGTAGCCCGAATGGCATTTTAGTCATTATTTTTTTCTTTTCATGATGCCTATTTATAGGATAGTTCTCTTGTATTTTGGGATGATGATTGATTAATAAAATTCTGAGTTTTCTTTGTCTCCCTCAATGCTGAGTGTTTGAGAGAAGAAGGAAGACCCAAAGTGTGGGCAATCGCAATACCCGTCAACCTTTGGAAGGGTCTAAGGTTTATGGCTCTACTTTTTGTTCCTCGCATCTCCTCTGACCTCTCCCCTCCCATCTGCCACCGTCTTGCCCCCGTTTCCACCACCCCTCATTTTCCCCTACCCGACCACCACCTCAAGACCCGCCAGCCTCCCTTAGTCGTTTCTTCCCCTCCACCCGACCCAACTTCCCCATCTTAACTCCACCCCCAAATCCATACCAAACTCCCCCCCCAAGCTCCACCACCAGACACATGCTTTCCCTCTTCTTGAATGATGAATTAACTCATCATTAATACTTGCCTAAAATAGCCTAAGTGATTTGGGAAATTAATCTCAACAATTTGAAATTCAAATTTTGAATTTCAAATAGTTTCCTAAATTACAAAACCATATTAGGCAAGTCTTGAATCTAATCCCAATTTAATTTTAAATTGGGTTGGAATGATTGATCTCATCCCAAACTCCACTTCCCTCCAAATCTCCCATGAATTTTGAAATTCAAATTTTCCGTAATTCCTTTCAGAAAATAACTCATGTCAATTTGGAAAATGTCTTTATTTGAAATCAATTCTATATTAGAATTTTAAATACTTTTCTCTTTGATAATCGCTAATTAGGAAATCTTTCCAATTACATTAAATTTGAAATTAAATTTCAGATTTAATTTCAATCTCCAATTAATACGTATGGTTCACATACATTGCACCTAGACATAACTCCTCCTCTCTTCCTATGGCCGGCCCTCTCTCTCTTCCTATTCTCCCTCCAATCTAGTCACCAACTCTTAATTAAATTCCCACACTAATGCTCGTAACAGTCGCACCAACCATATTTGAGATTATTTTGAATGTCAACTTCAAATCTCCCTCCCAATTAAATCATTCCATGAATTCCTGCTTGCTGCTCTCCGAATCCATCAAGCGTGTCTTGTTGTCCAGCAGCAAGGAAGGCCACGGTTTGCTTTCCATAGCTCCCAGCAGGCCAAGACATTTCTAAGCATTACAGGGTGTTGTCCAGGGCCTGTCCAAGGTCAAAATTGTTGTTGTCCTGAAGTTCTGCACCTCTTCCAGCCATTCCTTGGTGCGAGAGGCTCTTGACTGCTGCCCACTTCTTTCCCAGTGTTCAAACGACCTTGCCGAAGTGCTCATCTCTCTTGTCTTTGGGTAAACTCAACATCGACTCTCTATTTTCATAGTTGCATCCTTGATTGTGGTTTTAATTTGATTCACTAGGACCGTGCTAATTCTCTCCACTAAAGTCTAGTATATTAGAGAGTTGAGTGGGGGACATCTCTTAGTGACTAATCTCATTATTAGTTTAGGGATTATCGTTGAAAATCAACCACGTACGCAGTGTTAGATTAATTGATTGTTTTACGACTTTAACTCCTATGCATGTGATTTAGCCTAAGCTTGTTTTATTGCCTTATTGTTTTATCTTAATGTTTAAATCGGCATATTTAATATTGTTCTCGAAATATTAAGCGTGCAAATTTCCTTAATCTAAATCATCCTTGCATGTATGTTCTACATCAACTTTTCTGTATATACAAATATTGTATCCAATTTTAACATATTTTGAATAAAAAAAGATGATCGAGATTGCCCCGTAGATGTAGACTTCACAAGAACTCGAACCACATAAATATTTGTGTTATTGTTTCTATTTTTCTGGAATTATTTCTTTTCATATTGTGTGGTAATCAGTAAATAATTACTGTTTTTGCCTTTTTAATTAATTTTGTAAGAGTACAATTGCAAATAATCTATAATCTACGATCAAGAGCATTTTATTTTCAAGCAAACAACTTTTCAGTTGTTTATTACCATGTGCATTATTCAAATTTGTGGGCTCTTCACGGGTTTGCAATAAATTGAAACAAATCATCTGAAAATTGTGAACTGTTCAATGCCTAAGTATTCTTATGAATTATTCATGTAACTAAGGCTAACCATATTACATTCTCTGATTTCATCAACTGATCTATCTTGATAGATAGATCATGACTAACAGTACAATATGATACGGTCGGGCCGATCTAGGAGGGACAGGTCTAGCCGGCCTAACCTGTGCGCCGGCTCCTGCATTATAGTAGGCATCAGCCTGCTCGTTCGCATGTTGTTAAGTCGCCCGTCTTAGGGGTAGGGTCCACTAGTTAATGCTAATTGCTTGAGGGTTGTTTAGTCCTTCGGTGTGAATCTTGTATTTGCTTTAAATAGGACTTGTATTAGGGTTAGGGCATATTTTTGTGACTAATTTTCGGATTGCTTTGGTGTTCTTGAGCTCTAACGGCGTCTATCGAGAGATTAATCCTCCTCTCGATAGTTTGTTTCTTGCTTCTTTTTTTTTTTCATTCTCTAGCAATCAAGAGTGATTTTCTTGTATTTTCATCCATAAAAATCCTAAATTTTGCTTGCTCAAACATGGCTGAAATTAGAATTTCAGCGGTTAAATTTCTGTTTTTCTATTGTTTCCTATCACAATATTACTGGAGTTTAGTGGCTATCTTATGCGTGAGGAAAGATCAATTGCGCTGATAGCATGAACTATGATGGATCAAATACTATATTTTACATAGCCAATACCTTGAACAAGGCTAATTAGTATCAATATTCTAATTAAGAGTAATTAACTGGTTCTGGATCTTAAAACAACTTGTTAGCCCTTACTTCCATGATTTGCCTGATATCATATGAATTAAAGGATCAGCTGGTCGGCTTGATAACAATCTAATCTGTGAATTGAAGGATTATTTTGGCTTGGGGTAATTTATGATCCTTGGACATAGCATATCTACTTGATTGATGGATAATACTAAATTTCTAGATTCATTAGCTTGTTTGAGAAATTATCTTTCATTAATAAGAGAGATTATTCTGTGCAGACATAGAACGCAGTTTACAGTTTAGAGGTCAACTAGAATGTTCCATGTCAGCTGTACCGAGTCGGTAACGAGCAGTGGGTGACGGGGAGCATTCTGGTTGGTCTCTGGACGACGTTCGGCGTCCCCACAGAATAATTTCACTGTGGAATGGTTACAATGGAATGTGCTAAATACACAAAACAGAGCAAAACAATTCAATGTATAACTGACTTCCTCAACAACCATATAGAATAATGGCATTGCTATGCTCTTCTGCGATTGCTGCTTCTGCCATTAAAGCTTGAGGTGGTAGCTGACCTGCTTGCATGAATGAAGTAACCGTCGCCTGCTCACCAACAGGAAGAGGGATCATTGGCAGATTCTCGAAGTTGCATATTTTGATCAGGAAGCCATCAGGATCGTGGAAGAAGAGCTGGTCGACGTATATCCCCCATTCCTTGACCCTCCGACGCATATAGCTGATTTCCATCTCCTTCAGCTTTTGCTCCACCACAGCTAGGTTCTCACACTATTACAAGTTTAAAATGATCAATATGTGCATTGACTACTTGCTTTGCTTGCTTTCTTGTGATTTTTTTTTTTTTTTTGGAAAATTATGGGAATAGCCCGTTTCCATTAAAGAAAAATAGTTACAGGTGTGAAAATTGAAGAAAACTGTAAGAGAGCGTATAAAAAATGAAAAAAAAGGTGTATACAAAAACAGAACACCTACAAAAACTGCATCAGCAACAAAAAAAATAATGACCGAACTGGAGAAACCGAACCAAAGGGCTCAGGAATTGCAATCATTCGATCATCCTGGTTGCAGAGGTGCCAAAAACTGCCTTCCAAGGGGAAGGAATGTGCAATACGATCATCCTAGCCCGTAAGAAAATAACATTTTTGAACCAAATTAAGCAGAAAGATCTGGGCAGATCTATGTGCCGAATGTCCATAACAGAACAAGAAGGGGCCTCCATTTATTTAATTTTAAAATTTTAAAGAATACGCACATTTTATCTTTTGACAGATGGTTGCAGAATTCTTATGATAATCAAACAGCCAATTAAAAGTAGGTACTGTGTGGATTTAAAAAGTCGGACTTTTCTCCTCATAATATGCTTCAAAAGTGCTATCTTTGAGAAAGTTAAATTAAAATTCCAACTAAAAAAAGCTGCTTTGTGAAAAGTTCTAATTTCAGAAACAGCTTTTGTACCTGAAAAGAAATGTGGTTGCCATTCGGGTTGATCTCTCGTTCCTCAGGTAGGCAGTTGTGTTCCTCGCGTTGCAGCAGGTGAATGCCGAATCCATAGTTAAACAGCCTGAACAAGCGTGAGAAAAAGAGTTACAGATGTGCAGTTTTGTTCAGAACTTCATTAAAGCACTAGATGAACAGAAAGATTACTACTGCAGCTTCTTTAAAGAAAGAGAGAGTTTTTTAAATATAAATATGGCGTACCAGGCGCCATTGAAGTTGAAGGACTCTGGCCTCTTGATAGGGATGAAACCCAATACATTTTGATAGAAATCAACAGTTCTCTCCAAGCAATTACAGAGATGAGATATATGGTTCAAAGATTTTAGAGAGAGAGCGCCACCTTTTGTTAAGCCCATGCCTACTTTCTCTTTCTCTCTCCTATATTAATTTTGACAAGTAGAGAGAGAGAAAGATGAGTTAGAAAGAGAGTCATAAGCTCATATTTATAGAGAGAATATTTCATGTTTTTGAGATGTTTAATGGAAAGCTTTGAATGTTCGGATCCACCAACTTCGGGCACGGCACGTGACAAGAGCTTCCAAACGTCTGGACATGCGATACCAGTTAACTTCTTCCACACGTTGCCTGTGCAAATACAAAATTTTCTTTTAAAATCTCTCAGAGAGGAGAGATTACTACGTGCGGTGTCCCGACAGAGAGAACCATTCAGTTTTGTGATTGCTAATATTTACTATTCACTACTGTGCTTTACCTGTTCGCCCCTGTATTTTTACTATTCACAGTCACAAAACTGAACTGTTCTTTGTATCTGAACACCACATGTAATAATCTCTCCCTAGATGAAGCAGAGTTGCTTTGTAATCAACCGTTGTGGGTCCGCATTTGAAGAATCGAAATATCTTTAAATTATTATTAGTACAATAAGGCATGCAATTTTTAGTAAATATATTTTAGAGACAAATATATAAATTCAAAATGTATATTGGAGTTTAATATATATATATATATTAAAGAAAGAGAGAGTTTTTTAAATATAAATATGGCGTACCAGGCGCCATTGAAGTTGAAGGACTCTGGTCTCTTGATAGGAATGAAACCCAATACATTTTGATAGAAATCAACAGTTCTCTCCAAGCAATTACAGAGATGAGATATATGGTTCAAAGATTTTAGAGAGAGAGCGCCACCTTTTGTTAAGCCCATGCCTACTTTCTCTTTCTCTCTCCTATATTAATTTTGACAAGTAGAGAGAGAGAAAGATGAGTTAGAAAGAGAGTCATAAGCTCATATTTATAGAGAGAATATTTCATGTTTTTTAGATGTTTAATGGAAAGCTTTGAATGTTCGGATCCACCAACTTCGGGCACGGCACGTGAGAAGAACGTCCAAATGTCTGGACATGCGATGCAGTTAACTTCTTCCACACGTTGCCTTTGCAAATACAAATTTTTCTTTTAAATTCTCTAAGAGAATATAGAGATTAACATAGAGAACCATTCAGTTTTGTAATTGCGATTATTTACTATTCACTATTGTGCTTACCTGTTCACCTCTATATTTTTACTACTCACAGTCACAAAACTGGAAAGTTCTTTGTATCTGAACACCACATTAGGGGTGTCAATATTTGACCCGACCCGAAAATCCAACCCGAACCCGATCCGAAAATTTTGGGATCGGGTTGGGTTTGGGTTGACCCGAAAACCAGAAATCAACCCGATTTGACCCGTTTTTAATTAATTTAGGAGTGTTTTAATGGATTTTTATGAAATAAATAAATGTTATTTCAAAAAATTATAAACATTATAATCCAAATTACATTAATCTTGATTTATTTTAAATTAATTGAAGTAAATCTTACCTTAATTTGATTTAGAATTAAATAAATTGAATTAAATAAAATAAAATTTAATAAAATATATCTGAATTGGGTCGGGTTGACCCGGACCCGAAGCGGGTCGGGTTCGGGGTTGGCGGACCCGAAGCGGGTCGGGTTCGGGTTTGAAAAACCGACCCGTTTGCAAAAAATGGGTCGGGTTGAACAGAGTCGGTTCAATTTCGAGTTGGATCCGAACCCGACCCATGACCCGATTTTAACACCCCTACACCACATGTAATAATCTCTTTCCTAGAGGAAGTAGAGTTGCTTTCTAATCGACCGTTGTGGGTCCTTAATTAGTGCTTCGCTCACATTTGAAGAATCGAAATATCTTTAAATTATTATTAGTACAATACGGCATGCAATTTTAGTAAATATATTTTAGAGATAAATATATAAATTCAAAATGTATATTATATTGGAGTTTAATATTTATATATAAATATGTTTGAATTAAATTTAGAGGGAGTAATGTTAAGCTTAAAGCTATTTGAAATATTCTTTTGTGAAAAATTGGGCTGCTCGATTAAAAATAACGGAAATTAATTTAAAAAAAAAGATTCAAAGATTTAAATATTTTTAACAAATTTGAAGGTTTCAAAATATTATTTTCACTCCATATTTGACGATGTGCATAAATTATTTATTGTTTTCATGATTATTTTATAAATTCAATATTATTTTTCAAGAACAAATAGGTTCCCAAATTAAAAATATAAAAAAAATGTATTGAATTACAGCTAATTGCATGCAATTTCAGTTTGAATTTAAACTGAAATTGACCCACCCAAATTTAGTCAATCTTAGCCCGAAATTTAATAAATGGGTCAAAAAGTTGAACTTGAATCAGACCCGCTAACAAACCGAATGACTCGAACGTGACCTGATAATTAATCTTTTTTTATTTTTTAATAATTATAAAATGTCAACTATAGAAATTAGATTAATTGAAGAAAAATTAGGAGATCATACAATTTGATTATATTACCACAACTATTTAGTTGATTTTTTTTTTCTTTGAAATGGAGATTGAAAATTTAAATTGTTTTTGTAAAACGAGAGTGTGACCATGTCCATAACAGTAATATTATAAAGTTTATTTGTCCAAATATAACCTTATTCTTTTACAGTTTAAAAATATTTTACAATTTCAAGAAATTCCAATCAAGTTAATATATCACATTCAGCCAATTCAATTTAGATGTAATATATATCTGGTATATATTAATTATGCTTTCCTATTGTCACTTTCTGCTTACCAAACAACAAATTTAAGTATATCTCCCAACTTTCAACTAGCCCAACAAACCACCATGAATGCAATGGATGAGTGAGCCCAAATTTAGGAGGAGACAAAAACATTTTTGAGAGATTTTATGAATCGGAGTGGACGGATGCAACTTTTTGTAAAGGTGATTATGAAATTGTTGTGATAAAGATAATTTTTTGAAAGCAGCCGTAAAAAAAAATTAGTTTTCTAGCATAGAAATTCAAAGTTTTGAAAACCGGATTAGACTGGCTGGTTTGATCATGAATTGAACAAATTGTCGGTCCAGGAGAGCTTGTTCATGAGCTATAATTAAAGAAGTTATGTGTTCACTTTTAGAATTTTGATTATTATGTAATTATATTATATTTGAATAATTTTAATCATTATTCTGTTATCTGTCCAATCCTGATTCGACCTCGGTCAATCATCGAACTATGAACCTCTCCTTCCGGTTCACTGTTTAATCCAATTTTGATGACCGTGCAGAAATTTCATGAAAGCGGTGAAAAATCAGTAGACAAACAAAAATTATGATTACGGTCTGAAAAGCAAAGCAGCTAAAAAACGATCCCAAATGAACCCTTGTACGAGTGTGATGGCAATTGGTATGTGTGAGTGAGTTCATGTAATTTATAACAAGAAAATCCTAACAATTGGTTTATGCTAAACATTCTTATGTTATGCACAATTGTAGGGGTGTCAATATTTGACACGACACGAAAACCCGACTCGGATCCGACCCGGAAAATACGGGTTGTACCCGACCTGATTTCAAAATGGGTCGGGTTCGGTTTGACCCAACAGGTTGCCGGGTCAACCCCTAAACCCGTTTAAAACGTCTGCCCAGCCGCCCGTGGACCTGTCAACCCTACCCGCCCCCTGTCCAGTTGCCCGAGGACCCCGCCCGACCCTGCCCGCGCTACTGCACTGCACCCTGCCGTGAAGCTGCCAGCCTACCCGCGCCTATCAGCACGTTACCGCGCGCCCTAAGCTGCCCGCGCGCGTCTGTGCCATCGCGCGCTCGTGCTTCTGCCGCTCGCCTCGCCAGCCCGCGTGCGTCTAGCGTCCGAGTCTGAGTCCGTGCCATCGCGCGCCCGCATGCGTCCGAGTCCGTGTTGGGTCAGGTCAACCCGACAACTCACCGGGTCGGGTCTGGGTTCGGATTTCCAACCCGGGTCGGGTTAGGGTTTGAACCCGGGTCGGGTTCGGGTCTGACCCGATTCGACCCAAACCCGACCTGTGACCTGAAATTGACACCCCTACACAATTGTAAGTGGGTTTCTTTTTGTAGTGATAATTTTCAATAGTTAAAGTGATTAATAAAGAAGTCTACCAGAGTGATAACTTCTTAATGATTTTGGTTATTATTAACAATAATATTTATTGTTGAAGACTAATGTTATGGCTTTAGCATCAATATTAAGCACCACTAAACAAAATCTGTAGCTAGGAATTTTATCAGTTGCAAATTCTCTAGTATTTGTGATCGTTAAACTCACTGTAAATTTGGTGAATTATTTGTAATTTTTTTAATTTTAGATATTACTTTTATTTTCATTATGCTAAAAATAAGCCACATAATTATATATAATAATCACATAAGTTAAGTAGAAATAATGAAAATTGCAAATCAAATCATTTTTCAAATGTTAAATGAGGATGCAAAATAAAATTTTTATTTTATTTGGTTCTAACGTATTAATTTGATCATAAAAATTTTGGATAGTAAAAAAAAATGAAAAGATTATATAGTATCAAACTTGAATGTAAACTAATGCGGTGCATCATAACCCTATCATGTCTATAACAAAGAATTATTGGCAATAAATAAATAAATGGCTATACTCAAGTATTTACATATTTGTAATTATCTATAATAATGAATTATTGGTTTATGGCAGCTATTGCAATAATGTTGCTTATGGTAATTATGTTATATGAAACCCCCTTAAGTAATAAAAAGTTAAACTCTTAAACATTGAGGTGTCTTTTAATATAATAGTTAGAATTTCATTAAGAAATTTTATAGTTTAGCGTGCTCATATCCTGAAGAAATCTTTGGGATGATGACATTCGGGGAAGTTACACCAACATGACAAACCCATGAGGCCCTTAGGTCAAAGTGGACAATATCTCGATAGTTAAGAGTTTGAACTATTACAAATGATATCAGAGTAATACACCAGCCAAAAGATGGGAACTAAGTGTCATACAAGACAAAATGCTACATCGTGGGAGCCACCTCTTGAACCCTGCATGGGACAAAGTGATACGTGGTGGGAGTCATC